GGAGCCCTCCAGCCCTCCAGGCTCCAGCCCTCCGAGCCCTCCGAGCCCTCCGAGCCCTCTTTGGGGGCAGTCACATACGCCGCGACTTCGTTTTCTTTACCTTTATGCGACCCCTCCCGAAGGGCCCTTCCGACCCCTCTCGAGCCCTCCCGCCACGAAGATCCTCCCTTGTCCGACCGTCCCTCCGAGCCCACCCGGCGTCCGAGGAGGGGGTTAGCCCTGTGGAGCCCGACGCCGATCCGACGGGGACCCCTCCAGCCCTGTGGGCTGGCGAGCCCTCCGGTCGGATGCGGGAGGGGTGGAAGTGGGAGGGCTCTCGAAGACGGACCTCTCTCGCTCCGGGAGGGTGGAGGGGTGGAGGGTGGAGGGGTGGATGGAGGGGTGGTTGCGTGCAAGCCCCGCAGAGGTGCGGGCGAGAGGGCGGCCCGAGCCCGAAAGGGCCCGCCCTCGACCTTGCTCTACATGGTAACGGATAAGAAGAGAAACACCCCCGGACCGGGACGCCGGCGGTCGAGTCGGGACACGCTGTGGTTCAGACGTCCCCCCCCTCGACGCAGTCGAGTGACTGACATGAATAGGGAGGAGAAAGTGTCCCCCACATATCACCACAGACGCAGCACAGGGGCTCCAATCCTGTCCGCCGGGGCCTCGGCTAGATCTCCAGTGGGGAGTGCGGAGGGCTGGATCGACTGCAGCGAGAGTGTGGGTTGTGGACCGTCGGGATAGCGTGTGGCGTAGATGTTCTCCTGGAAGTAGAGAGGCTGATGTCTCTCGCCCTGCAGGAAGGAGAAACTCGGACGGGAGAGTGAAAACTCCTCCCTGCGGCATGTGCGCAGAACGGGTTGCGCAATGTGCGGCATCGTGTTGAGGGCTCGGGAGGGCAACGACGGCAGCGTTGCCGAGCTTGTACAGGGGCCTCAATCCTGTCCCCGATGGGGTGCGCCTCTCGCCGCGCGCGTAGCAGTCGGCGCGCGGGTAGCCTCAGAGATGCGCAGAGCGAGATGCGGGTATCAGCAAACCAAGCCCTGGGCTTGGATGGGCGCGGCGAAGCCGCGGCGCAGTGGATAGCGTGAAGAACTCGAGATCGCTGGGATCTTGAGCCGCCGCTGCCACGTGCTAGCCCCGCAGAGGTGCGGGCGAGAGGGCGGCCCGAGCCCGAAAGGGCCCGCCCTCGACCTTGCTCTACATGGTAACGGATAAGAAGAGAAACACCCCCGGACCGGGACGCCGGCGGTCGAGTCGGGACACGCTGTGGTTCAGACGGGTTGAGCCCTCTAGCTCTGTCGATATAGCCCTACCCCTCCCGCCGTTTTATTTAGGGCCTACCCACACCCACAAGAAATCTCTCTCTCTCCCACCAGTGCATTTCCGAACGGCTTCGAGGGTTTTCCGCTTGGATGAGTGAGTAAGCACTGTTATGCATCCGAGCCGGAAGTTGGTCAAGACGACGGTCAAAATCGCCCTCTTCTTACCTGCCTCCATTTTGCCCTTTTGATCGCGAGCTACTTATACCAGAGTCTGCCGCATGCGGGTCGAGGAAGAAGACGAGGAGGTCTCGGGCATCACCGGATCAATGGTTCGTGCCCTTCCTTTCGCCCTGCCTTTCGCGAAATCGAGCGACGATCCGAATATCGCAAGCGGCTGTGGCGAGATCCAGAGCTCGCAGTCGATTCTGTCGCAGTGGCGCAGATCGACACATCCCATCAACCGCCCCAGCGGTATGGGGCATGGAACCGACGCCGCCGAAGCTGCCGCCTTCACCACCGCCGCCTCCACCGCCGCCGCCTCCAACGCCTCCGCCTCCACCACTGCCAATGCCGCCGACGCCGCCCCGCGTCCGCAAGGACGCGAGGGACTGAATGCGCGCGTGAGCACGACGCGATCGACCCTCTTCCGCATCGACAACAGCGGCATCGCGCGGGTGGACGAGGGGAGAGAGCCCAGCTGCCTTTACCGTCTCAGGCGCGGAGAGCTCCGGAGCCCAACCCGCCGCTCGCCCAGCATGCCACGCGCCTCTGACTGCATGCGCCGCCGGTACGGCCAGGCGGGCCGTCTTCCGGGGAGAAGACGAGCAGTCGCTCACGCTGCTCACCGTGCGGCGGGCGCCCGGGGGAGACGAGGCTTGCCCTGCCTCTCCCAGCAACGCCCCCCGACATAGTCGCGATGCTTCCTAGTGGCCTGTCTCAGAACGTGGAGATGCGGCTGAGCCTCGCCCCTAGTTTGCAGAGAACACCCCGCCCCCCGGAGCCGCAGGTGCCGCTGGGCCAGCTGCTGTGCACGCGACTACCGCCGCCCTTGCTACCCGACGAGCCGCTGACGACTCCCGTGTACGTGCGCGCCGAGGGCTCGCTCGCGCCCGAGTCCGCCGCCGCACTCGATGCTATCTTCGCGCGGCTCGCAGTCCTCGCCCAGAGGAAGCGAGACGGCCCCAGCGAGCAGAGCGCCCGCGACACCGAATTGGCCAGGGCCGAGAGCATTTTTGTCGTCCCGACCCCAGTGGCTGAGCAGCAGCAGAGGCATTCGTGCAACCCTAGCCCCCCCCGAGGCTGAGCAGCAGCAGAGGCGTTAGCCTTTTTTCCACAGAGCCGTAATTTCAAGTCGCACTCTACATGCATGTCCCACGAGTCACGGTCTGATAAATGAAAATCTTCGCAAGACACAAGACTTCTCCTAGTAGAGGTGTCCGTTTTATTTATTTATTTATTTAGACTCGCGCCGCGATCCCGTGAAAATTCCCGCGCGAATCCCGATCGGAATCGGCAATCGGCGATCGCTCAAGGCGCACACTCTGATGAAACTGATCCCTCTCCCCTCTTGTGCGCCCGGCGTATGGCAAATAATTATCCCACATTTCCACCTACAGCTCGTCGTGTGCATGTAAGGCCACCTCGTCCCCTCCAAGGAACGCCCCGCCCCCGTCCACGATCACCATCTCGAGAGGCTTGAAGGCCTTGGACTCGACCAGCGCGTCGCTCGACGCGAGGTCAAAGTGGTGGAGCGAGAATGGCACGCTGAAGGTCAAGACACCGAGGACCTCCCCGCTCGGAATCATGAATGGCGGGCTGAAACAGCCCCACCCTATCCTTCGGCCGCCCGAAAAGGCGGAGATCTGCGTCTGCTTGCTTGTCGTGTAGCTCGATCGCGGCCTCACAAGCGCCCTCTCACCAGCCGCCGGCCCGTTGAAGGCCAGCTGCAGGGAGCGCACGTGGTCAAGCTGAGCAAAGATACGCACTTGACGCTCTCGGTCACGACCGGAAAGCACCACGAACCCAGGACCGTTGCCCGTCGCAAAGGAGACGCGCGTGGCCGAGGCGCTGGCACCCACCTCCACCCACGTGCTCTCTGGCCGGTCATAGGCAATTTCGATCACGCCCTGCGCCGATCCGGCTGCAAAGGTGACGGTGCAGAGGCGTCCCGATGCGGGCAACCCAGCCGGTGAGATGCGCAGGATGCTGACCACGGGTGGTGAGCCGGAGCTGTCCACCTTTGCAATGCTGCCTGGCGGGGCCCCGACGACTGTCGCAGGAGTTGCACCCCTGAAGCCGAGCGATACCGCGGCGGGCGTGAGCTTCCCAAACTCAAAGATCGAGCCGTGGCCAGCTGCCACGTAGACATCAAGTCTCGGAGACCCGCCCGTGTCGTCGGGGCGTGGCACACCAATGACAATGGCGCGGGCATCAGCAAGCACGCTGCTGGGCGCGCCGTCAGTGGCCGCCGCAGCAACAACGGCCAATTCAAAGAACATTGCCGCGCGGGCCGCTGCGGAAACAGATTCTGATGGCTCGCTGCTCTGACACTGTAGGCGCGTGCGCCCCGAAGCGAAGAGGGGACGTGCGCCGCAGCTCAGGCTTTTCACAAGTCTTTGTCGAGTTTCATTCGCAGACCTTGTTATTGACAAGAAAATACGTGCTATCGCGCTTTGCGCTGGTCTATGAGAGGTTGAGGTGCGAGCCCTGGAGGCTTCACATAAACGCACCACATTTCATTCACCCCTTTTAGGAGCAAACTCTTTTGCTCGTAGCCAGATGCCGATCATCCGTGCACACGGCCCGCTGGGTGCTCTTCATAGCTCCCCGGTGAGTGAGACTCTCGCTCGCCAGTCGGAAGCGGCGTCGATCTCCATGAGCGTCGCCCGGCGTCGGCCGGCCGGGGACCGCCATCAGCGGGTCGGCACTGACTGAGGCAGAGACACGAGCGGGCGTGACGCTGGATTACACGTGCGCTTGCCTGCTCCAACGCGTCTGCGCCGCCGGCCCAAACTTGGCGCGCTGGCGGCCCGCCACCCCCTCCCCCCTTCCCCCGACCCACACTAACCACCGCAGGGGCCGGGGCTGGTGAGCCTGAGGACTGCGCAGCATTCACCAAGTCCAACATCCAAGTCTCTGCTCCAAGTCGCAAGTGGAGCACTCACGACGCCAGTTCCCAGATTTCAAGCATGTAGCATCGGGGTCGAGGTCATGGCGGTCGAGGGGTACCCCGGCGTACCGGCAAGGCCATTTAACACACGAAAATCCTATTTTTCACTGTTGGAAAGGGAACTGTACCCGGACCCGGTCTCCCGTGACGAAAAACGACCAACGCACCGGGCGCCTGCCCGAGAACTTGAGTTCGAATACGTAGGAGGCATCAGAGCAAAACTGAGCCCGCTCAGGTGTGAAAAATATAATAAGGGTCAACTCGCCGATTTCGAACCTCGACCATCGAGGTGCCACCGGCCGACCTCAACAGAGTACGAGATGTTCGTGGACTGGTAGCGTCGAACCGGCGGCCCATACCCGTAGCACATTACGGCCTTTACCGAGGGATCACACACACACCGAACGCCCGAAGTGCCAAGAAGGACGTCATCAGTACGGAACCTCAGAAGGCCATGGGCGCCGAGAGAAACATACAGAGGGGGGCAAGAAGCTAAGAATATTTGATCGATTTGTACCCGGACCCGGTGTAAATCACGCGACAGTGCCGACGCGACACGACGATGCGCTTTTGCTAAATCGCTTGCCTGAGCCTCTCCTCCGACGATGCGCTTTTGCTAAATCGATCTTGCCTGAGCCTCTCCTCCGACGACCAAATTGCGCGCGTCGGCCGCGGCTCGCAGCAACTGCAGCGACTCTGCGCACAACTGCCCGGATACCTCGAGCCGCGTGCGCCGGCTGCGCGCGTCTCCCCTCATGCCGACGCAGCTGGCGGGCAGTGCCGTGAGCAGCGCTGTCCAGGCGCACCACGCAACCTCGGAAGGGTCGACGAGGGTCGAACCTCGCGGCGTGTCTGCGGCGCTGCCGCCTCCGCGCGAATCGGGCGTCCCCGCACGCGCCATGCCGAGGCAGCGGAGCTGGTTGCCGCGTACGACGCGCGCGGCGAAGCCGATGAGTTCCCTCACCGCGCCGATGAGGCCTCCAGCCGGGTGTGCGGCGGCAGAGCGGCCCACGGCGGCGAGCGCGGCGCTGACGGCGTGCAGCAGCCCGTGGTAGACGTTGCGGCGGACGGCGACCGCAGAGTTGAGCGTTGGGTCGACAAAGACAGCGCGCAGCTGCGCCTTTACGGCGGTGCGCATCCGCGCACGCAGCTGCGGCTTGTGCGCCCGCGGGCCCATGCTCACGTGCGCGCGGCGGCGGCTCATGTCGGGGTGCACCTCGCACGTCGCCATGTTGAGCAGGAGGCCGCACCAGCGGAAGTAGCGGCGCGCCCTCCCGTCGGTGGCGCTCGCGCCTTGAGCGGGAGCCCGCAACGCGCGCGGGTCGTTGTGCCCTGCGGCGGCGAGCGAGCCCGCGGCCGCCGTGACGGAGTCGGCGGTGTCGGCGGTCGAGGCGGGCGGCGCCGTGCTCGAGGCCACGCACGTCTTCGCGACGCTGGTCGCGCCTCCGTACCGCGGGAAGCCGCTCCCCATCGCGGAGAGGAAGCCGTCCCGCGTGCGCTCGACCGCCGAGACGCAGAGCGAGTCGTCAATCAGCCGCAGCAGCAACGACCCCTCCCACGTCGCCTCCCCGTGCGCGGCGGCGGCGGGCGCGGCGGCGGGCGCGGCGGCGGGCGCTGGCTGCGGCTGGAGCCTCGGCGTGGACGGCAGGCGGGAGAGGTAGGTCGCGAGGAGCGAGAGGTCAAGGGCTCCGTAGTGGAGGCAGCAGACCAGCGCGCCCGCGACGGCCCCTTGCGGGATCCCGCTCCGCTGGACGTAGGCGCGGCCGTCGACGAGGGCGACGGAAGAGGAGACGAGCTGCCGCAGCGCCGCGCCGACCTGCTCGGCGCTGATGGCGCCGCCAGACTGCCGATCGACGAGCAAGGCTCCGCGCAGCCGACCGGCGAGCGCACCGCCGTATGCTCCTCCGCCGCCGCCATCTCCCACTCCGCCGCCGCCGCCCCCTCCGTCCGCCGCCACGCTGAAGGGTCTGGCGGCGAGGCGCGGCCCGGCCGGCTGAAGATGAAGAGCTGGTGCCTACACGCACCAGCATCACGCACCTCAAGGGACC